CCCCGTATAGTGAAGCAACTGTAGGGGGCTGCGCGGCCACCGGCCAGCTCAGGTATCTCGTTAGCCTTTGCACATACTTGCCGAGGTGCTAAGGTGCAAAGCTGCACTCCGTGCGGGGGGACAGGCCTTTACCTGGGCTGGAAAACACTTTTGCTTACGGCACATGCTGCTCTTGTCAGCTTCCCAGGGCCCTGGAGTTTGTCAAATGAAGTTCTTTCTTTTGATCCTGCTTGCATAAAGTTTTCAATATTGCTTGTCAGCATTGTTTCCACTTCCATTCCATCATCTTAATAATAATAACACAGATGTAGCAAAGACAAACTACCCTTCCATCGCTGCCGGGTGAGATTCTGGAGATTGCCCAGAGCCAAGCTTGCAGCTGAGCCAATCTGCCAGAGCTTGGGATGGTTCCTCAAGTGAAGCTGCTGCCACAGACTAGGCCATTCCTGGGTGCCACCAGGCTTCAGGAGAGGTACATGGGAGCCTGTACCCCGCTGGGGTGGTAGGATGCGGAAGTATAACCCCTTTTCTGGGCTATTCGAGGTGTTTTTGAGGTGTACACACTTCTCCCTCACCTTCTCCCTCCTGGCCAGAGCCACATGTCCACCCTGCTCCAGAGCTGCATGGGCTAGTTAAGAGGTTCAAGTCCCGCGGCTTTGAAGGATTAACTCCACCAAGGTCCAGCTGATGGTATTTGTTAAACTCCCCATTACGTCCTACAGCATTGTTAATTGCATCTGCATAAGCCAAATTCAAATAGTGAGCTCTTCCTCTGCTTGGGACTCTTCACTTCACTCTCCATCATTAGCCTTATGGCTGGAAACACCAACTTTGGGGCCAGTTTTCTTCTTGCAAGGGCTCATAGTGCATTTGCCCCGGAAGGCTCATGTCTGGAAGCTGTTTTGGAGCCTTTCACTGATAAAAATGATGCCAGGTGACTGAGGGAATGGAAAGATAGTCCAGCGCTAAAGCTGCAGCCCAGATAGTGGGGTTCAAATCTCTTCTTTTAAGTGGATGCTCTGTTTAACCCCTTAAACGTTGTAGTCTCTTCTGTACTGTAACACAACCTGGACAGGAGGATCCTGGTAGTCTGCTAGGTGCTGTTGTGGGTTTGAATCCTTCACATCAAGGAGAGTAGGAAAGCCAGGCCTCCCAGCACAGTGTGAGAGCTGTCACCACTGAGCTACGATACTAAAGTGCATTTGTGCTTTTTCAAAGAAAAGCCCTGTACCTGCTGAGCTCTCTTGAGGGCACAACTGGTAGTTCCCCCTCTCCCCCCACCCAGGGACGGCCTGGGGCTCTGGATCATGAGTGGATACCTGTTCCCCTACAGCCTGGGCACCCAGCCCAGTTCAGCTGCCCCCAGCTCAGCACCAGACTATTCCCCATGTCCTTCTCAAGGACTGACAGACCTTGAGCACTGCCTAGAGAGTCAGGAGCTTTCCTCTTGGTCTGAACTTCACTCAGACCTAGCTTCCTAATACAGGAGGAGATATGCGGTACTCTTCTTGCCTGTCCTGGAATGGTATGCAGTCTTCTGAGCCCATCAGCGGGGCTTTTGCTAGAGTCCTGTCTCCAGTTATGGACCTGGGACTCCACAGCTCATCAGAGCTGTCGGGAACACGAATTCTGAGGCGAAACTGTAAGCTGCTCTGGCAGGAGAAGAGAGCAAGGGAGTGGGGGCAATATCCTTCTCCAAATATAGAAAAAAATACTGCAACAAGAAGAGCAATAAATTCTTCCCTATGTTCAAATGCTAGGGATTTACTCTATAGGGACAGCGATCCAGGTTAACTTCCTGGAATTTAAAGGTTTTTGAAGAGAGGTTAGACACACAGGAATGGTTTAGGAAGAGCTGACCCTGCCCTGAGGCAGGAAGAGGGGATCAGATGGCCTCCTGGGGTCCCGCTACCCTATTTTATGCTAATAATTGGCTGAGAAGTTCAGGCCCAGAAGAGGCTAACCCCACTGTGCCATCACTTGCTTGGCCTGTTGCCACTGGGGGCTAGCCATGTGGTGCATGCTCCTCGCACAGCCTGTCTGGGAGCTTGCCCTTGCCTCCCCACTCATGCTGCTCTGGGGTGAAACACACCCACATGCCTTCCACCCCAGAGACATTTTGCTCCAATATCTCTGTGGTGGGTTAGTGAGGATGGGACACATTTTGTGAGCATTTTGGGTGCTGGGGTGGCTCACCTCCCAGGTGGTTCCCTGGAGCAAGGCCAAGCTGGGACAATTAGTCAACAACTGGAATAGCATTTAAACATAGCTGCTGTCATGCAAATGTAAAGATTAGTAAGGATTAAAGTGGTCTGCAATGCTTCACAATTTCTTGTTAGTGCCTCAGGCTCTGTAAAAGCCAAGTGACCTGCATCTGCTGAGATGGCTCCAGCATGACCATGGCTGGCATTGACGCTGTGCAGCCACAGTACCACAGTCTCATTGCCACTGCCTGGCAACAGGCAGAGACAACAGGGAAGGCTAGTGATAAATTAGGCAATATGTCTGGAAAGATGTTAAAATCATAAGTATTGTTTACCACAGTTGATCTTAAATCTGCAGGGTCACCTTTCCATGGCCACTACCTCCTCTCAGTATGTACCATGAATGAAGGACACTGTCTCCGTGGAAGCTCCCAAGCGGTTTCAGACCAGCCGTCACAACTACCCAAACGTAATGCAGATGGGGCATCCCACTGAGATGCAGCTTTTGCTGCGAGGGGGAGGCTGCAGCTCTCGCTAGGCGGCCAAGTATCCGGGATAGGCACCTTTCTGCATCTGCCTGCAGGAAAGGCCAAGTGCAGGGAGCTGGCACAATAAAATGCCTCCCATGAAGACCTATGCCAGACCTTCTCCCAAGGCTGGGAATATCTTGCCTGTGATTTCAGATTCTTGAGGCCACTTACCTGCTACATGAAAAAAAATATTAACGTTCAAGAAACTCTCCCTGGAATAAGTCCCATCTCCTTGCTGTGATAACTCAAGGTAGAATTTCATCTTAATGTTCTATTTTTTTTTCTCATTTTAATAATTGCATATTTGGAGGAAATCTCCTGGCTCTGGTACTGCAGCGTAATTATCTGCTCAACACAAGATACCCAAGACGTGTTGAGATGCTATCATTTGCTCTGTTCCTCAGGAAATTTTCTTATGCTCCAGGTTCTGTTTTCAAATGGTTCAACATTACAGCGATAAAAGGGGAGCTTTGCAGCTGAGGGTTATGCTGGGCACCAGCATGAAAGTGTCCTATGTTTATAGCTTCACTCAGCAGCTCTCCTCACTTGCTCAGCTCCACTGTACGTACACTGCCTCTGCTGCACAGGTGCAAGGTTTGCTGGTGATTATACCAGCTCCAGAATGAAATATGAAGACACCATGTTTAGCAGTGCAAGGAACAAGCAGTTCTTGCTCCCTGCCTTCTGTTTACCGTTGCAGAGAGCAGAAAGTTTGGGGTTAAATGTGGGACTGCTCTAATGAAAGTTGATTCACAAAGTTACATCTTGATTTCATGTCCCTCTCCTGCAGAGAAAGCAAATGTTCTCTGCAGCGAGGACTTACTCAATTGCTGTGCAGGAACACCGTGGCAGCCTCAGAAGTGGATGATGATATAGATTTTTATGTCGGGTTGGTAGCAGAAAGAGTTTGTGACCTGCCGGGTTTTTTACCAGCATCTCTGGTCCCGCCATACCCCTGGGGCATGGCCCAGTGGTGCCTCTCGATCCATCTCTCCTGGCATCCAGGGTCATCCGTGGGTGACTGCCTGGTGCCTCACACCCTGAACCGCCACTCACTCTCACACCGAAGACGTACCAGGGCCAGCTTTCCAGTGGCAAAGTGTGGGATTTTGGGTGGAGGAAGAAGGGAGTCTTGGTGGGACTCACTGGTGGCACCCAGCACGAGCTGGCCACTGCGCCAGGCCTGCCTTCACTTGACTGCTGGGCTGCACAGCCTCGCTCGACATATAACCAAATAACTCACTAAATAAATAACCTTAACTCTGCAGAGTGAGCTCCCCTGTTTTACTGAAATGCCCTGAAAGCTTTAAAAAATTGTTTCAACTCATCAGAGTTGTACTCACCAGAGACCACAAATGTTATGGCCATTTTCATCATAATCAGCCAGATAATAGTGGGAAAAACGGAATCTGAATTATGGCATTTGGCCCAAAATGAGACCTGATGCCCCCAAACTGCATTAAAAGCAAAGCCATGCCACAGCTTCACATTTTTTCCATTTGTGAAAAAGAAATTAGGCATTACCTAAATGACAGTAATGCATGCGCTAGTAACTGTGTGCCGAGCCTCCTACAGGCAAGGCAGTGTTCTAAAAATGGGCTTAAAATGGTACATTAATTAACGGGTTTCCTCCAGGCAGGTGGCAGCTGGTGTGAAATTTCACATTGTGTTACTTTTTATACTGCTTGGATTTTCCACTCTTGCTGTGTTTGAGTGTCCTTCTCATCGGTGCCAACCAGAACTTGGAAATTGGTCTCTTGGTGGCATCTTTCAATGGCCATCAGCAATTTGATGACCTCCACGTCTATAGAGACGTTTTTTGTCTACGTGACAGTTGGCAGAAGGGAGAAGGGTCTTCAGGAGCTCTGGGGCTTGGGTTAGCAACAAGTTAGTGCTTTATAAAGGATACTACCCTTTGCTGAGTGTACAAGAGAGCATTTTCTGAGAAGATCAATAAAAAAAATGCCTGTCTTTCAAGGTAGCTGGCATTGCTCAGTGACATCCCATCCCAGAGGATGGTCCCAGGCACATTTAGCTAAATGCTATTGACCCAGAGCAAGGAGTGAGAAAGAAAAAGGGGGAAGAGAAGGATTTGGGGAAGGCGAGAGACCAAAAGCAAGTGAGAATGGGGTGAGACAGGATGGGAAAGCTGAAGTGGATGAGGACAAGGCGTGAGACCTTGCTGGCTGGGACCATTTTCAGGGTGTGCACGTGGCTCGTATCTGCCAGGGCAGCCCACAGAATAAGAAGAGACTTGGTTCAGTTCTTACTTTTCATACGTTTTATTATAAAGAAAGGTAAGATAAGCATTGTGAACCGAATGTGCCAGGTGCTGTGAAAGCAGCACCATCAAACAAAATAAAAAATAAAAAACCCAAAAATGCACCTGTAATTATGCTCTCTAATCTTTCATAAATAGACAAAAATCATTGTCAGCAATTTTTAAATAGATGGACATATGGCAGAAAAAAATATAATAATGCCATACAACATGGATATAAATTGTCCATTTCTTGCTGTACAAATAATAGAAACAAGTTTGGCAGGCTTTTTTTTTGTTGGTTTATTTTATACACATCTCCCTTCTATGTATAACTAAAAAATGTGCTACAATTAATATAAAATGCTTTTACTATAAAGTAAACTACTAATTTTTTTCACAAAAAAATCTTAAAGATGTCTTTAGCACAGCTCTAAAACACTTAATAAACTACTTACAACTATCCAACAAATTATATTTCATGATCTTTTTCACATTTTTCCTCTCATATTTTGCCTTCTGCTCGCTCCCCCCACCTACCAAGGAATAGTTTTTATTCTTTTTTTTTTATTTTTTTGCCAGACATCCAAGGCCTTTGCATGTACAATATTCACACAAACTTCACATTTTCTTGCACAAAGTTTAGTGCTGTTAGCAAGTCAAAAGAGTGCATCCTCCTACTGAGCTGGCCTAATGCTTTAGGACACCAGACCTGGGCCTATGCTGCATCTAAAAGCAGTTCACTAGGAAAATAGTCTGTAGCTAAGCTGATGGCAAGCAGAAAAATGGTGTCCTTATTTTTTTGTTGGTTTTGTGTTTATTTATTTTATTTTTTTTATTTTTTTTTGTTCTTCATGATTTATGAGGTTTTGGGCTTCCACGGAAAGTAGGCTTTAGAGTTCAGAAATAATAAAAGAAAACTGCTCTTAGAGCCTAGAAATGAAGCCAGCGACGAGGTGCAGTAGATTAGCTCTCTCGCCCATACGACTTGCTCGATGCCTCTCCGCGTAGTCTGTATGATAGACCCTCTCAAGTGTCCTTCATCTGAGCCTCCTCGAAAAGAGATGTTGAGTTTTAGGTGAGGTAGAGTGCCTTGTCCCTTGGCAGCATGCTGTAAGAGAAATGAAAGGTAGAAGGTGAGACAGGCAGGAAAACAGCTGTAAAAAACAACCTGGGAGAGCTGACAGTGGGGACAGTTTGAAATGAGCATTTGCACAACTGGTTGCACATGAGGCTTTAGCTATGCCATGGTTTTATGGCACTCCATAACACAAGACATTAAGTGGTCTGCACGTAGGGATGGGCCGTGATCAGATGAACAAAGCAGAAGGCGCGTAAACTGACAGCTTGGCACACTGTTAGTTCTGCAATTTTAGCAGTAAGGTCTTAATGATAAATTCCTTCCTGTGGCTTAATTTTTGCTCTTGCTGGGGCTCCAGGCAACGGCCAAGTCTGTGGAGCTCAGGCCAGGACACTGAGTGCAATGCTGCAGTGGGCTCCACCATCCTGCTGGGCCATCAGTCCCCCTCTGCATCACATTCTCCTCACACTAAGCCACAGAGGTTTCAAAAAGATATGCTTGCTTTTGAATAAAACACATCATTCTGGTACAGCATAACAGGTAGGAGTCTCAAAAATGTTATTAAGGAGCTTATCCAAAGATGGTTGTAGGTGTCCAGGAGGATTTATGGAAGCTAGATGGATGAAGACCATGGGAGACATCATCTGCTTGATGCCTCTCTAACCTCTCCTTGTCTCCCAAAATAAGAACAATCAGAAAAGCTAAAAATCAGGAAGTGAGGGGAAAAAAGTCTTTGCTCTGGTGCTTGGAGAAAGCAGGCTTAGCCAGTCTTTCCTCTAGGTCTAAAGAAGACAGTAGGAGATACGACAAAGCCAAGGAAGACAAGAGGCTAAGGAGGAGGAAGGACTAAAGGGATATCAGCGAGGGATGTGTGTGCTCTGCACGTCCCTACCCCAGAAGAACTCGAAGTGATCAAGTTATTAAAGCAATGGATTTGCATTCAGGAGATCCAGGTCTGTCCCAGATGGGGAAGTTAGCAGAGGAAGGTATGCATAAAGATATCACAGCTAACTTTAACTGTTGCCTTCCCCAAACACAAGCCATCCCTGGGGTGAGGTACTGTAGTAAGTGGTATCACAAACCTTCATATAGAAAAAAATCACAAATCACATCAACTATGCACGTGGGGCTCCTTTCAGGGAGAGCCTTTCCCTCCGTCAGTCTTCCTCGCCCTTCCTCTGCAGTGTGGGAGCTGTGCAGGGATGACCTCACATGCAGGATTCCCACGGAAATCAGGGGTGCCTCGTGCGAGCAGACCAGTCCCCACCACGAGGGCACTTCCTAGCTCACCAAGGAACTTGGCCAGAGGCAACCCACCAGGGAGATGAAACCAAGAGGCTGGTCAGCCTTCCCAAGGCACTTCCGCATTCCACACAGGACTGGCACACTTAATTTGCTATGAGTGGTGGCCTGCAACTGACCCCTGACTCTCTTTTTTCAGGACATACTGGAGGAAGCAGTGGGATGGAGGCAGTGAGTGGAGAGAGGTATGTTCTCTCCGCTGGCTGAAGTCACCTATGTGGCTTTTGCTTTGAATTCTAGAAGATATTTTAACCAGTTCTATCATTTACACATATCTGATGAAAACATTGTCTGTCCATAAGAGCATCTGGCCTTAAAAAGCGGTGAAGAAAATAAAGCTTTGTGTGTGTAACTGAGTGGAATAATATGGAAATAGCAGACAATGAGGCAATCCTGTTGCTGACAGAGTGCAATGTAGACTTGACCGCACTTTGTTGATCTCCACGTTTTATAATCTGCATTTAAAATGCAGTCTTCCTTACTGCTCTCAGTGAAGATTTAATATCAGTGAGCCACAATGAGGTATTCCAATACTAAAACTCCATTAATTTTACAAAATATGGTACAGAACATTTCCTAGTACATTACAAAGTATTACCATAAATAATTGAATCCAAACTAAGTGCATTTGTGATGTTTTATCTTTGTCTTTTTGCAGCGTTCATTCACTTAATTTCTGATTTGGAAAATTTGCCCATTTGGAGTCGATTGCTTCATCATTAGCATGAATTAGTGAGTTCTGTGTATCTAGATGAACTGGGTGTACATGGTTTTGTATGTCTGGACAATGCATAGCTGAGAGCCCGTGACTCAGGTGTGCCAAGGGACCTGCAGCTTGGTGGAGACTGTGGAGCCTATATAAATCCCAGGAACTGGTGATTCAGGTCATAATGACCAGACAAGCAGCCATATTTCTGAGAGACCAGGACCTGGGCAGATAATGTCTAATTGAAAAAGTGTTGTATCACTCTTCAACGGCAAGCCTGCAAGAGCTGTTACAAGACCTTCTTGTAACACTGATGCCTGCTAAGGCCTCCTGAGAGCCGGCATGTGGCATTTGAGCTGACAGTGGCTCACAAATTGCTCTTGATGAGTGCTTGGATTTAACCAGAGTGCCTCAGCTCTCCTGTCTTTTAACCCACAGAGGGTGGGAAGAGGGAAGAATACCTGCTGGATGACGGTACCTTAAAAAGAAACTAATCTGTGCCTGGAGGTGAACCTCATTCTGCAATATCATCCTGATGCTGTCACACCCCTATACGCCGGCAGGAACAACACAACCTTGCATCTTCCTGCTGGGCTTTCACAGCTCTTTGCAACTCCATTTGATGACCTCCATTCAAGTTTTCAAGAAGGGTTAATGTTCATCTGGGGACAGCAGCTATGCCAAGGAAGAATCAGCACACGTTTATAACAGAGGCATCATGCAATACCAGACGGGGCACTTTTTTCATCAGCTCACATAATTAGCAGGCATAAGCTATGGACTAGGTGAAATCCATGGGGACATCAGGTAATACTTAGAATCATAGAATTATATAGGCTGGCAGGGACTTCTGGAGGCTGTTTGTTTCCACTCGAAGTGGGGCCAACTTAGAGCAAGTTGCTTAGCATCTCCTGAATAAAACAGTGTCTTAATACGATGTCTCCTGAAACCTGATGGCTAATGTTAACTCTTGCAAATGAGCTGACGGACATGCAAAGAGGCATCCAGTCCAGGGTTTTCACCAAAAATCTAGATGATAGGAGACAAATGTAAATGAATCCTGAAGACATCTTATGGTGCAAAAGAGCTGCATAAGCATCATAAGACAGGACAGAAAAAAAATGCAGAGGTGCCTGGAGGAATTAAGAAAGATTTTGCAGGTAATTGCAAACCAAGCTGCAACTTTGATAAAGCTAGTTCACAGGGAGAAAGTCATTCCAAAAAACCAGACATTCAACGGGTAAAGAGCAAGGGTGAGAAAAAGGCTGACAGGTGAAGGAGACTGGTGACTAGATTAAGTAGCTTGTATTATGATGGCAAAAAATAATAAAATCTTATGCTGCAATTGCTTGTGGGGAGTGACAGTCACATATTAAACAGGGATGAGAAAACACTACCCATGTCTTTATTAACGATCTAGGAGAGCTAAAGCCCAGAAAGAGCTAGGGAAATTGGATGGAAGTCAGTAAGCACAATGAAATAATTAAGAATGGAGAGAAGATGGATGAAGAAAAATTTAAAACTCTCTCTAACATGGTTGATTTATGAGTTAAGGAGTGTCTGTTCACAGGATCCTAGAAGTTGCCGGGTATAAAGGAAGAAGTACATTTAATGGCATTTAAGTAGCAGTCATAGGCTGAAAAAAAAGCTGAAGAAATTCCTCATAAAGGGATTTATTAGATGGGGAAGGACAGAGAGAAGTCCAGTCTTGTTAGTTTTACAAAAGTTGTCCGGATGACAGACCCAAAAGAAAATGTAAGACTGGGAAATTTTACCCCAGACAACCCAGTGTCAACACATGTTGGAAGCTAAAGCAATATCAAAGTCTGACATGAAATAAAAATTGTAATCCAGAGCACAAGACAGGAA